TTCTTTCTGCTTCTCTTCTCTTCTCTTCTCTGACTCTTCCCATCTCTGCTTTTCATCTGTCCATATTGTCGGAAGTTTGACTTCTAAACTTCCTTCGATAAGTTAGGAGTACATTTGAATTTTGATGAATTTTAAGCCGTTCCTTTTTTTCAGCTCCACGTGGCTTTCCTGTGGTCTTTTTGAGGCCTTAATGGGTGCGGTCCCCGAGACCGAAACGCGGCTTGAATTTGGTCCAGTAAATGGGCTCCGCCGAACTCACAGCATCTACCGTAGCGGAGCCGCAGTGTCTTTCCCGTCTCCTGCTGGACGCTTCGTGAGTCTCCAAAGCTGGAAGTCCATCGGCTAGCGCGGCTTCCCATGGCTAGTTTTTGATAGGTTTTCATCACATGTCTACTGGAGACCTGCGGGAAGACCCTCTGTGGGACTAAGATTGGCATCATTTGGAGATATTTGGATTAATCATTGCCAAGGACTATCTAGTTGACCAAGTGCTGAAGATCAAAAATTATGCTTCTATATGGAAGGCTCATGTATTTGCATTGCTTCAACATCAACCTGCTTCACAATCATTCAAGCCCTCTACAACAAAATGTTCACTCACAACTCGACCGACAGGAAAACGCTGCTATTTTGAGAAGGCAGACACAGGACTCCACGGCAAATGCATTTCATATCATCACGAGCATCACTCAGTGACTCTTCTTATACCAAATGGATCCAAAAAAATATAGTAACTGGGACATGGTATCATCGTTTTTCCCATTCCAATTTCAGACTACCCTGGAGACCCTGGGAATTTGGACCACAGATTTGCCCCAGATTTGCCCCCACAAATACCTACCCTGGACACCAATGAACCGCACTGGGTATGGCAAAATGTCATCTGAAAATGGTTTTATGGCAAAATGTTTTATGGTCAAATCATGATATAAACACAGAGCCCATAAAACCATTAATATCCAGTTATATTGCAAAGCCATAGATAGCTATATCAATATATTGTTACCATATCATGATATATAAACTGCAAAACCAGAAACCCATAGCCATGGATATTCTTCGATGGGGTCCAAAGGATCCGCAAGAAAAACCAAAGTCACGTGTCCAACATTGGGCCATCCAGTGACTGACACACCAATAGCTTTGACCCCATTATTCTAACATTATGAAAATCTTGGGTTTGCAAGCACTGGAAAATCTAAGATAGTTATTTTGTATAGTGTCATTCTTTCATCATGCAGGTTTGTCATTTTGGATTTGCGTTGTCATTTTTATTGTCCTTTCTTTGTCATTTTATAGTGCTTTGGGAAATGCAAAACAAATGCATCGAAAAAAACTCCCAATCTGCGAACTGCAAAACACCATCGACCAAAAGAAATCGAGAAAAATGCAGACCATTGAAATTTGGCGCCCCCCATTTTGACGGTTTCCTCAAATCATCCCGAAAGTGCTATATATATATAATTATATATCTATATATCTGTGCCCATGGCTTTGGGGATCTTTCCATATCTTTCCGGTACACATTTTGAGAAACGCCCAGGGCCCTGGGTCAGGCCACTGTTTACAATCCCTGCGGATCATCGAACCCGCGCACCCAATCGAGACGCGGCTTCAAAATGCGCGGCAGTCCTGGCCATGCCATGCCATGCCTCAAACATGGGGAGCCCGGGGAGCCGCCAGGAATGGAGCTTAACACCAAGACCTGCTATCTCTGTTTTGGGAATCACTACGGGAATCACTACATCTATAGACTATAATGGATGTCGCAATAATGTCCCTGCGGGAAAAAAAAACATGGAAAAATAATCCTCCGAAACTGAGTGCAAGATAGTGCAAGTCATTTGTAACTCTGAGACCAACCATGGTCACTAATCACATGATGCCATTGAAAGAAAAACAGAGGCTCGGTGAGGTACCATTTGCCACTGGCTATTGATTATTTCAATGGCCAAGAGACTTGAGTTCAAGAAGGTTTTTCCAACATTTTTCAACATTTGGTTTCACCACATCTGATCTTCATAGAATCTTCATAGGCTATGTAGCCAGAATGTTCAACTATGAAATTGGCCATGGCCAGGAAACGGCCAGCTGGCCGTCCCCGGATGAGTTGAGAGGACGAGCTTCAGGCGGCCTCAAGCCTGCTGAAACTATTTTTGGTGAATCTATGGACCGATGGTCGACGGAGAAATAACTGGGTTATGGATGTTGATTCCCCCAGTCATATGGTATATTAAATTTCATTGGTAACTTGACCCATTTTGACCACCGAGAAATCCAAGAGAGTTCTTCCGATACAAAATGACCATACCAAAGAGGCTTGACTCTGACTGAGAATTTGATAGAGCAAGGGGTACAAAAGGATCTGGCTGAATGTAATTCTTCACAAACCTGAAACAAACCCATCCCCCAAATAGCCCAAAAAAATTACACACCCTGGGTCCCAATGTATCGTTTTCACCCAAGTGTAGGCTTCCCTGTAAGTGGTTTCATGAACCAATTCTGGCATACATGTATATAAATACACATATAGAATCTATAATTATATATATATACATACATAATTATATATACATACATACATACATACATACATACATACATGTATATATATGGAGATATAGAGGTTTTCCAAAATGGGGGTGCCCCAAAATCATCCATTTATATGGTTTATCCATTATAAACCATGCATTTTGGGGTACCCCCATTTATGGAAACCACCATATGTACATATACAACCCGACGGATCTTTCACCGTCCCATGATTTCTCAAAAACGTCGTTCTCGTGCTAGCCAAAAGCACATTCTGGGTCCAAAAAAGTTTCTTAAAAAAAGTTCATCGCAAGATGCTTTCGTCAACCCTTCCAGCATTTTGTGGTCAAAAACGTTCCGAGTTCGGTTTTCCTTTTTTCAGCTCACAGCTTTGCCGGGTAGAGGCCCGTTTTGGCCAGCAGGTCTGCAGAGTTCATCTCCCCGCGCCATTGTGCGCTGCGGATGTACTTCCACAGCAAGGGATGGGGTTTGGATCCACACTTTGAAACTATCTTATCTGGCACACCAGCTTTCAGAATGGTCCAACAGCTGTCAATTCCACCTGCGTGGATCTTCACCCAACCACGTAGCATCACCTTCATGACGCAAGTGCAAGCGACCGTTAACATGCCCCACCCCACCCCACCCAACCCCAACCCCATCCGTAACGTAGCATCAACTTCATGACGCAAGTGCAAGCGAACCTCAACATGCCCCACCCCACCCCACCCAACCCCGGCCCCAACCCCATCCGCAACGTAGCATCAACTTCATGACGCAAGTGCAAGCGAACGTTAACATGCCCCACCCCACCCCACCCAACCCCCACCCCATGCGGACGTTAGCATCAAATTCATGACGCAAGTCAAGCGAAACGTTGATATGCTCCACCCCACCCCGCCCCACCCAACCCCATCCGTGAACGGGTCCACATCATAGAAGAATAAGGGAAGGAAGGAGGGGTAAACCCAATTGAGAAATTGGGAAAGGGGAAACAGGGAAAAAAAAAAAAAAAAAAAAAAATAAAGATAAGTAAGGAAGGAGAATGAACAAAGCGAAGGAAGAAACGCGCTGAAACTTAAACGCCAGAAAGGTAACAGTGAAAAAAACAACCAACAAAAAAAACCCCACAAAACAACACGGAGGACGTAGCATCAACTTCATTGACCGCAAGTGCAAGCGAACGTTAAAATGCCCCCCCCACCCACCCACCCAACCCCATAATCCGTTAACGATATGATCCAGCAAATAGGCAAGGAAAGAAAGGGAAATGCGAACGAAAGGCTGGAAAGGGAAAAAAAAAAATTACAAAAAACAAAAAAAAATAAACATACAGGGGACAGTTAAGGCATCAACTTTTCATTGACGCAAGTGTCACAAAGAGAAAGTTAACCCAGCCCACACCCCCACCGGACCCAAACCCCATCCGTAACGTAGCATCAACTTCATGACGCAAGTGCAAGCGAACGTTGACATGCTCCACCCCACCTCACCCAACCCCAACCCCATCCGTAACGTAGCATCAACTTCATGACGCAAGTGCAAGCGAACGTTAACATGCCCCACCCCACCCAACCCCAACCCAATGCGTGACGTAGCATCAACTTCATGACGGAAGTGCAAGCGAACGTTAACATGCCCCACCCCACCCCACCCCACCCAACCCCAACCCCATGCCTGACATAGCATCAACTTCATGACGCAAGTGCAAACGAACGTTGACATGCCCCACCCCACACCACCCAACCCCATGCGTGACGTAGCATCAACTTCAAGTGCAAACGAACGTTGACATGCCCCACCCCACCCCGCCCAACCCCCACCCCATCCGTTACCGTAGAATTAAACTTCATGGACGCAAGTGCAAGCGAACGTTAACATGCCCCACCCCAAACCCCAACCCCATCCGTAACGTAGCATCAACTTCATGACGCAAGTGCAAGCGAACGTTAACATGCCCCACCCCACCCCACCCAACCCCCGCCCCAAGAGGTTTAAGATGATATGTAACAAAAATGTCGAATTTGTGGGCCGGTAAAAGATCCGACTGCATATACAAGTAATATAGTCTTTCCTTGCTCACCAGTCTTCTGGCTCTGTCAGGTCATGGTCATGGTCTCACATGTGAATGAACATAATATACATGTATATATTTGTATACCCATCTTAATATACATATATATATATATACATACCTTGATCTTCCAAACCCGCAGAATTCCTGGGGTGCGGAAAAATAACCATTTTTATTCACCCCTGTTAAAGTATGGGTTAGTACGGGTAAAGTATGGGTTCAGCACGGGTTAAGTACGGGTTGAGGTTTTGGCGTTGACCCGAAGAATTTAGCAGGTTTGGGTGCTTAAGGTATATATATACATATATATATATGTACTATGTATACGTACGTAATTATACATATACATATAGTATTATAGACCTACCATTCTTGGAGGGTTGGTACCACTCATTTCTGGTCTAATCGTCTCGACTCGTCGACGTCCAAAGACTCGACGGACGCGTGGCGAAAATCGAATCGCGCTCAGAGCAGAGATCTTGATACGAGCTCCGGGCGATCTGAACCGCCTAACGGCGATAGAGTGGGTTGATGATACGGGTACTATATGGTACTATGGTGATTCGGCAAGCGTGTTGTTGGTACCGTAGCAACATGAACAATATAAGGCATCATCGAATTGCGTAAGCTACGGTGGAAAATATGGAGATCTGGGAAAAAGCCAGGGAATGAGGCACCAGCCGTGGTGCCTTTTGGGAACATGGGAAACGTTTTTTTGAACATGTCGAGAGATGTCAATATTACTCTAAACACAGTAGGCTTTGTCTGAAAATGGGCGACCCATGGGACCCATGATGCTTGATTTATAGTGTCACAGTTCATATGTATATATATATATATTATATATATGATGATTGTGATGGTTATTTAGGTGGTATACCTTGTTTTCAGAGAGACCCACGAAATTATAGAAAGTGTTTTCCAGGATGTTGATGACAGTGGTTACCTCGTAAATTCATGTAAATTCCAAGTGTCCATTAACCGGTTAAGGGATCATAAGGGATCACTTAGAGCACCGGAAAGTGGATCACTTAGAGCACCGGATCACTTAGAGCACCATGGGATCACTTAGAGCACCAAAAAAGTGGATCACTTAGAGCACCAGAGAATCATGCCTTTGGGGTAACACTTGGGGACACGGGGCTGGGACATGGAGTCAGTCAGGCACAGCAACCTCATCATCTTTCTTGCTGTCCTGCAGACACACGCATGCACTGCACTGCTCTTTCATGATCAGTTACCGCTGGGGTGGGGTGGGGTGGGGTGGGGTAATACCGTTCATGTTCCTGTGCACACACAGGCAAGACGTTCCTGCTACGTCGTAACATCTTCGTCAAGTGACTTGCAAGACGTTCCTGATACGTTGTAACATCTTCGAGAAGAGCCCTTCCACGGGCTCCACGGGCTCCACGGGCTCCACGGGCTCCACGGGCTCCACGGGCTCCACGGGCTCCACGGGCTCCACGGGCTCCACGGGCTCCACGGGCTCCACGGGCTCCACGGGCTCCACGGGCTCCACGGGCTCCACGGGCTCTACGGTTACAGAAGAATGGAAAGATTCGAACGTACCCAACAGTTTCACAACAGAAAGTGAAACTCTCTAGATCTGAGTGGTACGGATCTGGAACGGTTATGGAACAGGGATTGGAACGAAACGACCCACTCCAGCACGTACGTTGTAACGTCTTCTGTAAGTAAGTTGCAAAACGTTCCTGATACGTTGCAACATCTTCTTCAAGTAACTTGCCAGATGTTCCTGATACGTTGTAACATCTTCTGTGCGTGACTTGCAAGACGTTCCTGATATTTGTAAACTCTTCTTCAAATAACTTGCCAGATGTTCCTGCTACGATCAAACATCTTCATCAAGTCACTTGCAAGACGTTCCTGCTAAATTGCAACATCTTCTTCAAGTAACATCCAAGACGCTCCTGATACGTTCAAACATCTTCATCAAGTCAACGTTGCAACATGTTTGTCTTCTTCAAGTAACGTGCCAGATGTTCCTGATACGTTGTAAACTCTTCTTATGCGTCTATATGGCTCTGCGCATATATGGAACTCCAACGCTATGTATCTCTTATGTCACTTTTCGGCGCTCCACGTGATCCACTTTTCGGTGCTCTAAGCGATCCACTTTTCGGTGCTCCAAGCGAACCC